GCTTTCTTCAAGGTAGTTTCAAATTGATTGATGTGACATCCTTATTCATGAGTGTGGGAAAGAAAAGAGGACAGAGAATTGTGTTGAAAGCCTCCATTCTGTTTGCTCTGGATTCTTCAAGGTGCTGTAAGAATGGGATCATCCACAAATGGTGATTAAAATTAAAAATTATCTTACCCTGCACATAAGCAGAAACTTTCCAAGCACACCAGGAGGACTCATCTTTTGTAAATTATGCAGGAACATATAAAAGATAAGCATATATCCTTTTTTATAAGACCACGTACCTCTAGTGATACCCTCATAAACTTCTCATCACACCTGCCTGTCCTAACTGTCAGGCCTGGACGTCTTGTCTGGGGGGGTCCACACAGCTGGATCTAATCATGCTTAATCCACCCCAGTCCTTCACCATATGCCTTCATTCTGGGCCTTTCAGACCTTCCAAGAAGTCAAATAATCAGCCTTAGTAGATAAGTAGGAGAAGCTTGAAAGATAAGCTCAGTGCCTTTCCTTCTGAGTATGTATGTCTGCATTTTAGTAAAGATTTCTATCTGTTTATCACCACTCAGAGAAATCTCAGTGTATTATTTTGGATGAGAAATGGAGATGCCCCTATAAATAGGCTGATAGGAGGTAATTAAGGAGAGATAGGAATTGAAGGCAAGGGCTGAACATTACCATACAGATGTTCCCAAGGTGCCCATGACCACCCTCCTCTCTTCCCTTCTTCTTCACATCATGGAAAGGCAAAGGCTTCCTCAGGTTCTTCACTGCCAATGTGTACTTCCTCCCTCAGTCTGTGGTTCCAAAACAGAAGGGTCTGTGTCGTGTGTTCTAGAATTGATAGCATTATAAATGTTTATGCTTTCTGCTTCCAGCCTTGAAAGTAGATGTTTGTTGCTTACCTGCATCTGGCTATGAGTGCAATTTTCTTGGAGTGCAGGGCACTGGGTGGACAGGAGGCATCTCGCACTCAGCATCCCTTCTAACAGTGGCAGTGTGAGAGCATCTCTCCATTCAGCTCAGTTTGACCAGTATTCACCAGGTGCCTGCTCTAGGCTGTGCTGCAGATAGATGGCTAAAAAGGAATGGAAGGTTGAGGAGATGCAGGATGGCCCCCCAGAAGAATGGTATACATGGGAACTTGCAGTGGGCACCAGCAGAAGGGCTCAACTAAGCTGGTGCTGGGCTCATGTTGGCATGAGGAGGACGTACTAGTGTCAGTGAACCAATTGTGGCCCAAGACCACAAGACTCGGCAAGGGTAGATGTGAGACCTGGCCTGTGCTCGGTTCTCCCCTCACCCAGAGCACTCTGTCTGCACAGCTGGGGGTAAGGGGTGGCACTCACACCACCTTAACCCACACTGAGCTTCCTGTCTTTCAGTTGAGGTCACATGCCACAGGTTTCTGAGCCCTTCTCCTGCCTTCCTGCCACAAGGCTCTTCATTCTCTTAGCAGCTGTGTGAGGACCCCACTGGCAGCAGGGATGGGCATCCTTAGAGTTTCAGGGCTGTGATCACAGTCATGTTTCCTGTGTTGTCCTCCATACTCCTGTCCCTGAGTCACTCTCCGGCTGCAAGTGAGGGAAATATAAGTAGCTCCAAGAGGCCCAGGCCAGGGGCTTCAGCTAAGGTGTCGGGAGCTCCAGATTCATACACAGTCTTCTAGAAGCCAAATCCCCCTCCACTTTGAACCCACAGGTCTTCCAAACTTCTGCTAACTTAGGTCTCCCAAGAAATATCATAGGTCCTCTTGATTTTATTTATGTTTTGCTTTTTATTCTCAAATCAAAGTAAATAGACAAGTTGTGAAGAATAACACAGGAAGGTCCCCACAACCTCGTACCCACTCTCCTCCAGTGGTTACCTCTTATATAACTAGAGAACAAGGTCAAAACCAGGAAATTGCCTTGTTACAACTTATTTGTAAAATTCTGTGCCATCTTATCCCATGTAGGGATAAGACCTTAACTCTTAATTTCACTTTATGTCTGCATGACTGAATTCTTAGCAAAGCAGAATCCCAGGAAACCAAAAGATTCAGTGGTTTTGATGTACTGTGTTGTTAACATATGATGAACCAAATTCAGCAATTCTGCATTGACTGCTCCCACATCTATGAAGATTGGTCAGCATGAACAAACCTAAATAGATATGAGGGGTGATCAAAGAATACTGTAAATGTTTAAATTTTTAAAAATATTCCACTTGCTTTGAACATACTTATCCCATCATTCTTGCCACTTTCTGAAGCAGTTCTGGAAATCTTTGTGAGTGTCTTTATGAGGGTGACAAAAAGTATGGTGAGTGCTGCTGCCGAATGTCACTCAACAGAAAGGCAGACTTGTAAAAATACTATGGTGTGTCCTTGTGCACCTCATTTACCAGATCTGCATGCAACTTCTGGCTGTTCTCCAAATTTAAAGTGCCATGAAAGGTGAACATTTCGAATTGTCTTATCAAATGCTGCCCAAATAGATTCACCCTTATTCATTACAAAATCTTGCTGGAAAATATGCTGCCCAGTAAAAGCAGACACTTGTCATTTTGCTGCCATGTTGCTGAGAGACTTACTTGTTTTGTATTGGGCTTCCCCGAAACAGACAATTATGAAACCTGTTTCCTCCATGATCACTCAAATTAAAATCAACACTATTGCTATTTAATAATACTTTTTTTCACTACTCAGGAAAAAAATAATTATTAAGCCTGTTCATTAAACATGACTTTTTAAAGTGATACATATAACAAGAAATAACTTACTGAAGGCATCGGTGCTATTTTCCTCATAAATGAATTCAATGAAATGACAGCTTATTCAAGAGTCCTGTTGTTACACTTCTCTTCTTAAAGTCACACCTCTGAAACACTAGCACAACCTGGTTTCATGTTCTCACATTGTGCAGAGAAAGCAACATGAGTTGAGCACTGCATTAGCAGGACCACAGTGAAGCTTCTTAAAGCTGGTTTGTTGGTAGTTTTTTGGGGGGGGGTACCAGAGATCAAACTCAGGACCTTGCACTTGCGAGGCAGGCGCTGGAACCACTGAGCTAAATCCCCGGCCCTGATGGTAATTTTTAATAATTACTGGTTATTGAGATAAGTCACATAAGGTGACTGATCATCGCAGAAAGAAAAAATTACATTGCCAAAGATTATCATGTTATTAACTTTTTCAGTGCATATGTAAAACACCATTAGCTCTCTTTTCTTTAAATATCTTTCTATACCATGTGTTGTGCTGCAACATTGGAGATTTCCATTGGTCAAAGTCCCATTAGAAGAACCTCAAAGCTCTTTGAGGTAAAGGATCACCAGTTAAGAAGTAGATGCCATCAGGTTTATCAATAGCTGACTGTAGAAGTCTAGGACCCCTGAGAATGGCAGTTTACTTTTCTAATTTCATCTTCATTCAATACTTAAATTAGTGCAAGAGAGGATTTGCTTTAGTTGTTATGGTAGTATAATGAAATACTGCTTGAAACGAAATAATACCATTTACTCTTCATTGTAATGAATCTCCTTTAAATGTTGAAATCCAATTTCTCATGGCTTAAGCAACCCAAAATTAAATGCCTGAAAAATAAGAATCATTTCTAAAGGCAATATAGTCACAGAAGAACAAACCACACAAAATTACACTTAAGAAAATAACTAAAAATGTATGCACACAGAAGTCCAGAATAAAGATAATTTATCAGGTTAATATGGTGATATTATAGGGCAGTTTTCTTCCTTTTATTTTAAAAGTTTGGTAATTCTTATAATTTTTAAGCATTAATATTTCTTTATAATATAAGAGGAAAACAGATAGTTGGTACTTATGTCTCTTGTCTATACCATGCATGTAAAAGATGTTCTATAAATACAGCTGGGTGGAGGTATAACAATAAAAAATGGGAAAAATGGGTGGAGTCAATTTAAACTTTAGTGGCACAATTTAGAAATTGTGTGAGACATGTTGCACATTGCACATTTGCTTAATACTTTTTCTAAGGAAATAAGACATGTATGGAATTGCTTCTCTGCTTCTTATAAAGGTGATACTCCCCCCCCACCCCCATCCCTTTTTCACTGCCATGTGGGCTTTTTCCCACTTCAAAGTTTAGACCTGCTTCAGACTATGGGATGCTCTAGGCCTTGGGGCAAGGGAAGCTGAGGAGCTACATGGCAGCCCCAACAGCAGTGCTGAGAAACTTGCTCCTGAGGAGCTTGCTGAGGCCCTGGCCTGTCCCTAGTTGTCCTGTGACCACAACCTTCCCACTCTCCAGTTCCCATGGTAACAAATTTCTTTTCCAATCCCTAGTGGCTGGGTCCTTTTTCCCAAACTCATTCTTTCCAAAATGGAGCCAGAGGTTCCAGCCCCGAAGTATCAGACAGTCCGGCCACCAGGCTGGTCTCTCCCTCACTATACCACCTGGGTCAGTGATACAGATCCTTGAACTCCTCTTGCTTTTCCCATCTTTGTCCCTTGCACTTGGTTCTGCTCAAGTTCACCCTCAAAATGGCTAAGCCTGGTATTATTCTGTTTTCAAATTTTCCCTCTTTATCCTTTTATCATAATACCTCTCATTCTCCAAACTAAAATTTTGCTCTCCCAAAAACTATTCGGAGTTCGAATCCCAGACTTCAGTGGTTTGAAACCTTGTCCTGCAGCCCAGGCCCCATGTAACTGTCTGTCAAGATGATGACAACCATATTCACACCTGATCAATATATGAACAAGGAGCCTAAAGAGTCAGCCTAGATCAATAAGTACCTCTCATCTGCAGAAGCCTGAGAAAGGAAGTTCTCCCTTTGGTTTTTATTCTAATTTTTTCCATTGATCCACTTATTGATTCTTTCATTTTTTTCAAGGAGTTATTTATTCACAATTACTGAGATGCTAATTATGCCACATAATGGAATTACAATAAAACAAATCTCTGCTTTTGAGATCATAGTTCCTGGAATCTTCTTCTTCCAGAAGTAAAATAAAGCTGTTATGAGTTGCATCAGTGTATACCACAAGTGGCCAAGATGATCAACGATGCTCCACAGACTCCAACACAAATCCTATGGAGGAGGAGGGAGTGAGGAACAGCTTACAGGATGATAGGAAGAGCTCGGTTGCAGCCTGGGGAGAAGCACAGGGATCCTCAGAGTTAGGCTGGAGCCAGTGAGTAGATGGGCATTCTCAAATGTGGGGCAATTGTATCCTTCTTCTTTGGGTAATAACTGTTGAAATTTTGGCCCTTACATAATGACTAATTTTTCATAGACTTTAATGATTTATAAAATGCTAGTACATCTGTTATCTCAACTAGTCCTCTCTACAACATTATTTTCTGTCACCATTTTAGTCGGGAAGAAACAAAAGGTGAGTTGGCCCAGTTTCCAGAGATAGATCTAGAAGCTAAACCCAGGTCTCATGCACGCTGCAAAACATCTCTACATCTTCATCCTGAGATGTCTGTGGTGGTGGGTAGGGAGGAGTGTGCTAGAGTTAAAAACTACAGCAGCCACAAGACATGTAGAGCATGATAAGGTCAGAAATATATGTGTCTCAGTAGAATTCCAAGTTCAGATTCCTCTGCGTAGTGGCTCAAGTTTTGTTTACTTCTTTGCCTGCATTTAAATATCTTAGAAAATATATCTTGTAACGATGAAAAAAACCAGGAAAGATTCTTCCAAGGCTCAAGTGGGAATATGCTATCAAGTTTTTAAAAATAGAATAGCTTTAAGAAGCAGCCAAATTATTATTTCTATAAACCAGCTTATTCATTTTCATGAGTCCAAAAAGAGGAAACACCTAAACAACCGCCTCTCCTCAGTTTATTCCTAGTGAGTAGAATTTGTCCCACTCTTGTTTGATCCTATCCAGAGAAATTGAACCTGTGGTAGGAGTGAGCATATGGAAGCAAAATGGGCATTTGTCCAATAGGCAAGAGGAATAATCCCTGTGATGTAACAGTCCTGAAATCTTTATGCTAAGAGTATTGATGAAACCATGTCCAATATCATGGAATACTTTCAGCAATGATATTGTTTCTAAGGTATAGAAATAATCAAAGGGAAAGGAGGAAAAACTGCATGACCTCACTTTAACTGGAAGTCATTATGCTTACTTCCAGTTCCTGACCCTGTGTGCACCAAAGAGACCAAAAGCATTATGAGTATGAGTCAGGTTGACTTTGATTTCTGCATGTTTGCTCCACTTGATCACTTGCATTGTTTTCTATTCATGTAGAAAAATCATTTCACAATGCTAAAAAGTGGAAGGAACTCTAGCTTGGCTACATAGTTATTTTGGCCACAGTATGAACAACACACCTTGTATACCATTTCACCAGGAAGCACAATTCAAGGCAAACATGCTCAGTAGGATGAGCCCGAGGAAGCACCCTGGGGATCTGAGAAAGGGGCAGTTGTCAGCATGCCAAATGTCCTCCTCACCAAAGTGGCATCCCTCCTGGTGGCTGTCAGGAGTGTAGTTATATTTTCCAGTATGACTTGATGTACTTTTACATTTTAATAGTAGTGTATCTTATTAAAATTATTTTATTGTATCACCCCACCATTATTTTATTATATTGTCTGTTACCCAGCTGAGCCACCCTTTCTGTACTCCTTGTGTTTCCACTTCTGTTTCAGGGAGATTGATTTCCATGACTGATCATTTTCTTGGAGTTGTTTTAAACCATCCTTATGCACTTAGAATGTGCTGTTTTATCAGTGTGCATCATTCAGAGGATTCAGTGCATTTTTATTAATAAAAATGATTAAACCACTCCTATTCCTGTTTGAGCAATATTGTCCTTTGTAGATCTCTCCATTAGCAGACCTGCCTTGAATAGATGAGATGCACTTGCTTTCTCATTCTAATCAGGCTCCTCTGTTATTTTGTCACCGTGACCCTCAGCAGGAGCACCTGCACACCTGTGCCAGAGATGTGGGTGTGTGCACATGTGCATCTGTGTTGGGGAGATGTGGCCCTGAGCCTCAGCCACCCTTACAGCAAGGCCAGCCTTCCTGGGGATGGTAATGAATGGAGCTAAGGGAGCTGTCTCCACTAAAGTGAGATATCCTTCTCCCAGACTAATGTTTTCTGCACCAGTTGGTAGATTTTTTTTCCCTAAGATCAACCCATCTGCCACTTTGTTTCCACAGTAACTTGGCAACTCTCTGTCTGGGCTGTTCTTTTTCATCTTGACCCCCGACATGGGAATGCTGCAATTTAGTGATACTCCTTTAAAGAACTGTCTGGTCACTTGGGCAGCTTGGTGCTGTTATTGCTCATGTCATGACAGTTTAGTGTTCTTGAATAGATGGTGACGGTATGATTGTAATTCCTTATGTGTCCACTCAATTGTCATGGACTAAAACCCTTCACAGAAATAATGTATCCATTGTAGCTGTGGAGTCCATGGCAGATGCATTGTTATTTTACTTGTCCTTTATGATGTTTATTTTCTTTACTTTCATTGCCAGTTACCCAGGAGCCTAAAAATAAAAGGACTTTTCTCTGGTTTACATCAATCCTAAGCCTCATGGGGCTTATGTTCTATTGGAATGGAAAATTGTTAAATAGCAAGCCTGTTTTGTTGCAGAAGTTTAAATCATGTGAGCTGTATGCATGTAGGAGAAGGAGCCCAGGTTTTGTTTGTTTTCCTTTATTTTTAAATGAATGTCACCATTTCCATCGGACAAATTGAACTGCGCCTGCAATACAGGGATTTAAGCTTCATAGGCCAGTCTCTCCAAGTGATTGTTTTGTCTACTTTAAAAAGTCTCTGCAAAGGGCATTTATTTTCCTTTCTAGTAAACAATGTCACTGTTTATCAATATGTTAGAAATGTCTTATCAAATTTCAAGATAAACCATCCTTTGTTATAGTTTGAGTGCATTACCCTAAGAGATCGCTTAGTTTCCTACAATACACAAAAAATCAGTAGTCCCTTTAAAAGTAGTCGTTTCCATATTGGCAGAGGACAATTACATCTGGTCTGGATTCTTTGATATGACAGACATTATTGCCTTTAGCTACACTCATTATGACCAACTCCCCCTCCTACAAAAATGGTCACAAGAGAAGGGGGTGTATCTTCAACTTACTTCCCATGGAGAGGACTCCTTCCAACCCATCTGGCTAGAACTACATAGGATTATGTGCTCTATCATTTGCCTTTAGAAAGATAAAACATTTAAGATCTTGACTTGGTAGAATTTTCTTTAAAGTTTTCAAAAATACAACTTCTGCTGTAATATCCTTGACTCTCTTGGGTCCCTCAATACTCAGGCTGGTTACTTATGCAAATAGCTGTGCTATGTAATTAGGGTAAAGCATTTTGGTTAAATTGCCTTTCTGCACTGAGAACTCTATCTTAGACCAACCTTTCTAAGTAAATTGAACCTGCTGGGTTTGAAAATTAGAATCTGAAGCACAAATGGGTACATTTCTTCAATCAGTGCTGACTTTTGCATTGGGCTCACATTAACTTGAAACAGCAGTGTAAAGTGGAAATCTCAGACCCAGCCCTGGAACTCTAGAACATCTCAACACAGTGGCTTAGTCACTACAAAGTATAAACAAGTCCATCTCTAATGATTGTTGTCTTTTTAAGTGGAATTCTGCCACTTGAAATCAAAGAGTTTAAATTCCTTTCCTTTAAAACCTTCTTTAAAAACACAATTTCACAATAAAAGTTTTTATGTATGAAGAATATGCCCATCAATGATGCACCTGCCTTCAGAAATTTATTTCAGAAAGAATATGGAAGGTAGAGGATTAGAGGATTCATATCTGACAAGAGGATGAATTCAGAATCCCATAGGAACACCAAGCCTGCAAATGTGCCCTTTAAAGCCCACACAGGGCTGAACTGTGCAATGCTTTAAAATTTCTTAATTATTTTACATTTTAACTTGTGATAATTAACTTAAAAATATAAATTTGGAACTTCTTTTTTAAAAAAGTAAAAGTTCTTGGTACACTGGATGAACATTTTTATGTGAATGAAGTCAGCTACAGATGAAGTGGGGACTCTGCCTCTGAACAGTCGAGGTGTTTCAGTTCACCACCATCCCACCAGTCCACCCACCCCACACCTCTGGGTCCCAAAACCTTTGAGAGAGCCAGCCATCGTGGCACACTCCTGTAATCCTAGCCCAGGGGAGGCTAAGGCAGGAGGATCACCACAAGTTCGAGGCCAGTGTGAATACAAGGCCAGCCTGAACTACATAGTGAAACTGAGACCCTGTCTCAAAACAAAACAAACTTTCAGAGGGCTACTTTTCTCTGTGAGCCTCTGCCATTCTTTTTTTCTCATAAACTGCTTGCTTTCCTTCTGCAAAGATGAACAAACAGCGACTATTGGGACTAAATACTTTTGCTGAAGAACCACCGAAAAAAATCTGAAAGGCAGAGTTGCCCAGGAGCTGTTCTGAGCCAACACTCTATGTTATTCTTACTCAAAATAAAATGTCAACAAGGTTCTGTCATATTTTCATCAACTCATAACACCAAGAACCATCCTCCTTCAATTCTGAGATCTGGTCAGTTCTACATTGCCCTGGTGTTAAATTTGAGGCCAAAAAGAAAAAGAAAAATAGCTAAATGGAATGTAGATAATTGGAAATGATGCAACTGAGAGGAACAAAAATGATTAAAATGATTAAAGCATTGCAAAATTGATCTGTGAGGACAGGCTTGAGGAATTGGGCTTATTAAGTCTGAGAAAAAGAGAGCCCGAGGTGGATTTACTTGGTGTACTAATGTACATTATGTGGGTGACACAGACCAATGTTCTCTTGCACTGCTGAGGACAGCGCAAATGGAAATGGTCTTATAATATAGCAGGGGACAATTTTTTATCATGGAAAATAGGACCATAAGGACTGTCCCTCAGGAGAATCATATCCAGAGTAGAAAAGAGCACTTAGATCTATTCTCCTTGAGACTGGTTTTTAAAGGATAGACAGTCCACAAGGCATTTTATATCCTGTCCTGTCTGAAGGCAGGGGTTTGTGGTAGATGACCTTCAAGGGCATTATATATTCCTTTGAGTCTATAGAATTATATGAAGGTCTTGAATCTAATTTTAGTGATTTCAAAAGCAAGTGCACATCAGCTCCTAGCCATAAGAAATAAACTGCAAGGACACACATTTTGTGCTATTAAATTAACACCTGGGATCTCAGATATTCATGCAATCATTTCTTTTGTAGCCTATGATTGCAAACTAACAGTTATTACGCAGCTGTGGCATTTTTTAAAACAGTACAGCTTTTATGCCTAACATGTACAATACTTCTATTAGTGAAGTGTTTCCATGGATACATTTGATCTGAAACTTCACTACCAAAAATAAGAATAGAGAAGGCATTCCCATGTGTCAGAAAAGGTAGGTCATTCATTTTGTCTACTATTATGTTTTGAGCACTTATTATAAATCAGGACCTGTGTCTTGTACCAAGTGTTAAAAAATGAACAAGTCAAGAAGCTTACATGGGGGTCGAGGAAGTGATTCAGACACTATGGAAACCTAGGTTGGATGACCTTTTTTGGCAGCCATATCACATTTACCTAAAAATAATTAAAATTGTAATAGATTAAAATTGCTCTTTGCAATGAGTATCATTTGGCTCTGGCTGTGTGGAAGGAGATTCCCAGCAAGACCTTTCAGGCGGCCCTTCCCTGCACCGCCCTTATCTTTGTGCTTGTCTCACTTCCCCGTGACCCTGCTCAGTCCATTGATTCCCACACAGTGCTTGGTATGGAGCAGTTATTCAATAAGCATTTATTGAATTCATTAATTAGGGAACATGTAGCTTCTCATACACAGGGCCTATCAGAGCTCCTAACTTGCAACTCTGTATAACACTGTGGGTGAATGAAGGACCCACTCTGTTTTTCTGTATCTGTACACCCTAAATTCTGTGACCCACTTCTGCCTGGATCCCTGCCCTTTTCAGTGACTCTCAGGACTGAAAGTCTCTAAAATGATTCCCTCTAGCTCTTTCTGGAAGCTAGAGTTTCCCCTCACTCTCATTAAATTTCTTATTGTTAGCTTTGGCCTATTCTTTCTTGCAACCCTTTGGGATCTTTCTTCAAGTCTCTTATTTATTAAATATCTTATAGTTTTTTGACCTCTTAATATGAAAACATACATCTCCCATTGGTGCACCTATGTCATTGTTATGGTTTTTTGGGGGGGGGTTTGTTTTGTTTTTTCGGTACCAGGGATCGAACTCGGAACCTTGCGCTTGTGAAGCAGGCGGCAGAACCACTGAGCTAAATCCCCAGCCCTGTTATGGGTTTAAAGCTCTATAAATACCTTTCTTCATGATAGAAGAATAGACATAAAATAATAACAGCCCAACCAAGGTTGAAAATCCAGGTCAGGGATAAAGCAAGAGTTTACCACACAGATAAAGCAAGTGACCACACAGGCCCCATGATACTGTAATTAGGCCAAGAACATCTGGCCAAGGGAGAAAGGGAGCTTGGCCTCTTATGTCAATATCATTATCAGAATTCCTAGCAGTGGATTCAGAAAGAATTCTTACATTTGACATTGTATGGTGGTCACCCATGGTGCAGTAAATGATGTTTACAACCTTTAAACAAAAACAACAAGTGCAGACTGGACTGTCTTGGATGGTGACCTTCACAGAAATGCAGTGGCTCTCAGAGCAGACCCCAGTCAGAGCACTGCCTGAAAAACCAGCTCTGGCACCCAAGAAGCCCCAACTCCAGCCCTGTCTGCTAACCTCCATTAGCTTCTGCTACATGGGGATAATTAAAATTCTCTGCCTCCTGGGGTCATTGTGGTGATTAAATGAGTTAAAGCATGTAAAAGGCTTCATACAGTGATGGCAGAGGTCAAGGTAAAAATGATACTTAGAATGAACTAGATAGTCTCCATAAAAAACATAGTAATAGCAAAGAATAAGTTTAGACTTTTTGGCTATTTGTTTATAACTTGTTCAAGAAAGATAAAAATCTCCAGAATGACACCCACAAATTCATCAATGCATTGTAGTAAAAAAGCAGTCTATGTGCTCTCCCATTCTGCCCCTCACTTAGCCAGTCCAGTATCACAGATTTTCCTGGATCCCATTTCTTTTCTCTACCTGAAGATCAATTTTCATTTAAAGTTCACAATTGCTGTTTGCCTTGGCCCAAAAGACACATTCTGAAAATCACTGAATCCTTCAACACCCATAGACTTTGAATTTATGGAGAAGTTTGAATTTATTGAGAAGTTTCTGTATCTGACATGGGACTTAAGATTTGCTATAAATTAACTCAATCTGTACCACAAACTCATAATGTACTACTGTTCTCCGAAAATAAAAAGGGAGAAAGTAATATTTAAAGCAATTAAGTAGCATCCCCATTGTCACATACCTACAAAGCAGTGCAGTTAGATTTTGAATCCAGGTCCCTCTCCTGAGCCTCTTCTCATAAGTATTGCAAACCCTGCTTTCTTACCTGTTCACCACCGGGCATAGATCTGGGCCAGTCCCTTCACCAACACTTCTCTATTTCATTCATACCCGTCATACCTACTATGTCATGACCTTTCTATGAATGCAAAAATATCTGTAGTGTTGGTGTTCCCAAATCCCCTATTTTTCCCTTCCCTGTTTATTACTGGCCTCATCTTTCAGGGTACTCTTGCCACTTCTACCCTACTTATCAATGCATATAAATAACAGGCTAGATTGCCCCATATTTTTAAGTCGGGGAAGAATTCTAGAGTCAGCAGATGTTGCTTTGAAGGAGGAGAGACAGGAAAGCAAGCATCACAAGGTACTGAAGAACTTTGCTTACTTCCTAAGTTTGCTCTGAAGTGGTCCTTTACCATCAGTTATGTTGACTTGCAGAAATTGTTCTTTTGTTGTTGTTGGTTTTCTGCACACTTTAAAGTTGTTTGTGAGCTTAGAGAACATATTGTTATTGATTTGTTTGACAGTTACTTAATCTCTTTGTCTCAGTGTCCTCAACTATGAAATGGGAATGCCATAGTGCCTCTGTCAAGGGGTAAAGGAGTCAGTAAGTTGACATATGAGAAACACTTGAACAGTTTATTGCACAAAATGAACACTATTAGCAATCCACTGAATAACATCACCGCTAAGGCTAAGTGTGAGCTCAGGCTTGAATTCCAAGCCCAAGACTGAGTTATACCTACAGCAGAATGAAAAATTATTAGAGGATTTTGGAAGAAAAGAATGACATAACCAATATGATAAACATGAATATAAATTTTTTAAAGTTTAATATTCTGTTTATTCATTGACATATTATAATGATTTGCAGTCTGAATAAAAATCTCCATGATGAGCATAGTTTTATCAGATATGTATAAACACACGAGAAATTGCTTAACAATAAGTTATCTTTTTCCCCTTTTGTGAATTTAACCAGCCTAATGAGAGCTTTATAAATAAGTAATGAAAAGAGTTATTCTCAATGCTTATAATATGAATCCTCCTACTATGGAAAATTAGACCCATCTATTGAAAAACAAATATCCCCTTATGGAAGCAAAGGTTTCTTCTATCATGCCACTTAATCAGATTTAGAACCATAATTACCATCATGTAATTTGAACTAAATATATTAAAGTATTTCTTTTAAATGAAAATAATTGGAAAACATCAGGAACAAGCATTTATATTTGGGACATCTTTGGAGAGTTAACCTTCGCAAAGGTTGGTGCAATTACAGCTACTTATCATTGCTGCTGTTTTCCCTCCCACCTTGGCAACAGGGAAAGCAAAATCCTAGCCTCATATTGTTTGCATCTGATGTGAATTCTGTCGACTAGAAAGGGATAATTGAGTTAGCCTTCTAAATTGTTAGAGAAAGACAAGAACAGCGGCAGCTGAAAATACTCTGTGGTTCAAAGTACTCAATCTGTCAAGGGGAAATGTTTATGCAAAAAAAAAATATATATATATATATATCACCACTGCAGACATGTGCAGACTTGAGAACCATGGTCTGGATGATTCTTCTTTGAAATACAAAATGTCAATGCAGAGTAATGTGCATGTTATCTCTCCTAATTTATTCTCACTTCAAAACTGAAGCTCAGGATTTTTTTTTTTCTTTGAAGGATGCCCTTTGCCAAAGGGCCTGTTCAGAAAGAGTAATTTTTTATGGGAGTTGAATAAGTATGTCCTTCCTGCTTCGTGAGGCTGGACTCAATCCTCAGTTTGTCCTTCTCTGGAAAGTTGTCATAAGGAGGTACAGACATCTTTAACTCTTGGACAAAGTATTCTATCCCTCTTTACCTGATACAGATGGGAAGTGTTGGAGAACTGAAAAGTGTCCATTCTTCAGACCACCAATCAGCAATTCCCCCTCACTTCTGTATGTGGGCTGGCCCTTAGACAGGTTGTATGAGTTATGCCCTGGAATACAAGACATGCAAAGCAAGTTTGTTAGGGGGTGTCTAGTTTCCAGGCCGCCATAAAAAATGCCACAAGCTAAAATGAAACAACAGAAATGCACTGTCTCACAATTCTGATGAGATAGCTTCTAGCTGTCCACTTGCTATGTGTTCTTCTCTTCTTTGGAAATCAAGGTGCCAACAAGGTTATGCTTTCTCTGAAACCCATCTGAGGGAATCCTTCCTTCCCTCTTCCACCTCGGGTGGTCTGCAGGATGGACACTTGCTAGCCATTTTGGCATTCTGTGCCTCTATCCTTACATGGCTGTCTTCACCCTGCATCTCCCTTTCCTCTTCTTATAAGGATGCCTACCATATTGAGGTAGACCCACCTTACTCCAGAATGATCTTATCTTAACTAATTACATATACAGTGACACTATTTTTAAATGAGATCACATTCTGAGATATGGGAGTTAAGACTTCATATCTGGGTGAAGAATGCAACTCAATCCATAACCCTTGGGCAACTAGATCTAGTCAGCCAACCTGTCTATGCATGCAAAGTCATTCTGCTGATTTTTAGCATGTCCCAGAAAAATGCAATAAGATTTCATGTTCTGATCAAACCTTGAACACTAAGAGCATTTCAGCTCCTTAATTACATTTATTCTTTCAACAAATATTTGGTAGTTCTGTGTGCCAAGCAGTGTGACCAGTGTTGAGAAGTCCTTGCCTTCATGGCATTGACAATCCAGATGGGAAAGCTGGGATTAAATTATTCCTTGTGTGCGTGCTGAGAAAGGGAAAGCTCAGGGTGTCATGAGGACATGCGATAAGGGCTATAACCATCTCTTCAGAAAGTTATAAAAGGTCTCCTTGCTATATAGTATAGCTTCAACTGGGAACTGAAGAAAGTGTTGGGGATAGCCCCACCAACAAATCTTAGGAATGATGATATAAAAGAAGATGGCCATACTCCTCAAAAATAAATACTACTTATGTTATCAAGATGGAAACTGCTTTGTCTTTCTCAGAGGACATTCGCCACAGGTGATTTGGGACTTCCTGTTGTTCTGTGGTGGAATAAACACAGATTATCTCAGTTTGTAGCTTGGCTCTCCTTCAGGTGTGCCCTTCCTCCCCCCATTGTGGTTAAAGATGGCACTTATCTTTGAGCCTACATGAAGAAAGAGAAAAGGTGAACACAGGCATTTCTTTGCAAGGCATAACTGAGAAATTGCATGCTTCAGTTTTGATTACATCCCAGTCACTGATGTGATTGCATGGGGTACTGAACTACACAGAATTCTGGGAAACGTAGTCCATGGCCCAGCAGCCACGTGCCCAGTTAACACTTCTAATATGTTGAAGAGGAGGAGAATACATATGAAGAGGACAGGTAGAAACCATTACATGCTGTCTGACATAGCCACCAAAGATTCCTTCCCTAGGAATGTGCTATGAAATGGCCACTGGCCATGTGGAGCCATTGAACAATGAAAACGTGTCCAGTCCAAATCAAAATGTATTGTAAATTGAAAATGCAGCCCAGACGTCAAAGACTTAGTGTCAAAGAGAATATAAAATATGAATAATTTTGATGTTTGGTATATGATGAAATTTTTATTTTATGATGGCAAATAAAATATATTAGCAAAATTAGGTTTACCAGTTTTCTGCTTTTCTCATAAGAATATTGGGAAGTGTGATGTTACATATGTGACTCCCATTTTATTTCTACTGTAAAATAATATGCCAGAATTTCACAGTGTAGCAAGAGAGAGAGAAATAAACAACAGACCTCAAAGTGGGGCAAGGTGGGAAAAAAGTCCAGATCAAGGAAGGATGGAGACGAATCCTAGAGAATCTTGATATTGAGCTGAAAGCCTAGGATTTTACACTTTTCACTTCAGGCAGATGTCCTTTCAATGTGTCCCTGCCATCTTATACACATCACTGAACCCCTCCAGCCAACTTCCTCACCTGTAAAACAGTAACGAGTGGTTGATTACAGATCATTCATAAAAGGCGTGATCAAAACACATGAGGAATGTTTACATTTTTAAAAATGTATTACAGTAAAGGACACATTACCATTAATACCCCTCAAAATGCTCCCCCTCACTTCAAACACAGATATCCTGTAGTTTTGCCACTTTCTGAAGGAGTTCTGAAAGTCTTCTTTTGTGTCTTTACAAGTTATGATAAAAAATATGGTGGATGCTCCTGCTAAATGCTATCCAATGGAAAGGCAGGCTCATAAAACATTACAGCATATCCTCATCTACCTTATTTATCAGATCTGGCACCATGCAACTTCTGGATCTTTCCCAAAGTCATCATAATCATCAATGGTAGATATTTTGAATCAATTCAGTTCAGCACATCAAGGCCGCCATGATGGCACAACTAAAGTCACAAAACAGAACTTCCGGAACTGATTCAGAAAATAGCAAGAACCATGAAATAACTGTATTCAAAGTGAGGGAGAGTATTTTGAGGGAGATTAATGGCAGTATGTCTCTTACTGTAATAAGTTTTAAATCTAAACCTTCACTATATTTTTCAATCATACTTCATATATAATCAATAATGTCTGTAAAGCTCTAACATAGTGTAAGGTCATAAAACTGTTCAATTTACTGACTAAATTAACCAGTGAAAACATAAGAAACTTTAGTTCAATCTAGTCCCTCCCTGTACAAATGGATTTCAACTAGATAGTTTGAAAGTAAAAAACAAAACAAAAAAATCATTGATCATTAACTCCATAGAAATAGTTTCTTGAATGAAGAATTTAACACAAGGTATCAAACCCTCCCCAAGTATTCAGTCCCTTGTCACAGAGGCATGAAAAGGACCAGTCAGGCTTCCTTGGTGACATGGACATCTGGTAACATGGTGGTGAAATTCTTCCTTGGGGAGACTTTGAAGTAGTCAAATATACTGATCTGACCTGCCTGGATTGCAAGTGTTGGGCAGAAGCAGTATGAGTTGACAAGATGTCCCAGAGTCCTAAGACAATGCTTTTATTACAACTATACTTTGATGCATCTTCTTCATAACCTGAGATTTTCATTTTTTCCTTCTTTTTTTCCAAGCTGCCAAATGGTTATGAAAGTTAGAAATATTCTATTAAATCTGGTATAAAACTAAGTATAGGCTGCAATCTTTAAGCACCCATTAAATCATAGCTGCTGTCAAAAATTATTTCTCAATCTCTGTCTCTGTGGTGGGGGAAAGCATTTGTTGAATGTTGTGGGTGGACCCTTTAACATGCTCAAAACAGTTGATGTATGGCTCTGCCTATCTTGTCTTTGCCGATTTAGCCCTATGTATTGCCTGCAGGCTGTCACTTCTTTAGTCACTTACAGATGGCATGTTGAAGGAATGCTAATTGAGGGACTTCACTGTTAGCTTCTAACTAATCATTCTGACAGGAAATGTCTCCCCTGCAAAGAAAGAGGAGGAACCCAATCACTTTTGGTGCTGTGGGCTAGCATACATCATTCTTTTTCACCCCAAGATGTGTCATGCAGAATAAGTGCAAAGAAGGGAGTTGTTAGCTCTGCCTCCTTATTAACCCTTTCTGTATCTCCTCTATATAAACTGGCTCCTTCTTAGTCAGTATCAGATATGCAGATTACTCTGTCATGACTCCATCTTTATTCCTTCCATTAGTCTATCAGTTCATCAGTTAAATAAATACTAGCTGAGTACCTTATTTTAGGAGAAGCAACATAGTGAGAGGATGAAGAACTTCCCCAGGAATCAGACTTCCTGGTTAAAATCCCAGTGCTGGTTGTTATGGGTATGTGACATATGATGTTGGGCAAGTCAGTGAAACCTCTGTGAGCCCCTGCTTCCTCATTGGTCAAATGGGATAAAGATAGTTCCAACTTCACTGAGCAGTTTTGATGGTTAAATGTATTAAACATAATAAGATTAAAATATTTATTAAAATGAATGCTCAATCAGTATTGTCTACTTTATTGTTTGTGCCAGACACTTTGCAGGAGACATAAATATGGATAAGATAAAGTCTTCCCCTCTAAAGCTTGAGTCCTCTTATGATAGAGTCAAGAAGACATTTCAGTTAAGTCACTTTGCAATAAGTAAAATTTGGGTTGTTTATTATTTTCATCCTGTGTCATTTAAGTAGAATTTAATGTTTATGTTTTATAATCATGTCTTTATGGATGGATGCATTTTTATGAAAATTAAGAAATAAATCATCTCCATGCCCTGTCTTACAGAATCCTAATACTTAACAGAGACCTTAGCAATCATTTGGTTTCACATGCCACCCAATATAAGGATGTGCACACAGCACCCAGCCTCATTAGGGATGAGTCAATCATTAGTTTGTGCTCTTGGGCTGCAGAAATTACTAAGGAGTTTTTCCTTTTCATGAAAAAATGACCTTTCTCCCTTCAGTACCAACTTCTCTTAGTTCTGCCTTCTATGTTGCAAAAAGAGTGTGTAGTAGTCCTAGATGTCATCTTGCACTGTACTTCACCTACTGGATTTCCAAACCACTGGCTCAACAAGATTCCCTCCACCTAATAAGCCCATCTCAAGATTTGGTATCCAGACATAGGACAAGCACCCAGCTGCCTTATGAGGAGAGCAGAAGGTAGCAGAGCCAGGTCCTCTCCATACCTGGAGGTTCTGATCAGCACTATAAAACAGCTTGAGTTTATCATCATCTGATTGCACTTAAGCCATGGCACTTCCCTCATATTCTTATACACTTTACTATTTTAATTTAACAGAAACTTTTACTTTTTTAATTAATTTTATTGGTACATTTTAGGTATACAATATAATGACATTCATCATTGGAAATTTGCACCTTTCCATAATCCATCTTGGTTCTTATTTTTACCCCATTCCCCTGCCCTCCCTTCAACCCTTCCACCAGAAACTTGTACTTTTTCCTCTTATCATTGTCATGTTAATCTCCATTTTAACTTGTCACTTTAGGCCATGATCTTGGTCATGTCCTACAAGATTACTCTGCCCAGATTGTGCCATCTATCTGACAAATAAGTTGTTACATTGTTGGCAAAGTTGTAGAATAAGACAAGATTAAGGAAAAAGCAATTCTCAGCATTAACATTACATTTATTTAGATCTTAAAGCACTTTCATATATATAAAAATATTTAATTCAGTATTCAGCAATCTAGTTGTATGACAGCTAATATATATTGATTATTTACTACATGTCAGGTCTTATATTAAGTTTATCTTAGTCACTTCTCAAAACAAGTATAAGAATAAGGTAATATTTTGATCCCATCTTTAAAGAGACAAAAACACAAGGTTAAATAATTAAGTAATTTGACCACACAAAGTTGCATAAGCAAATGATAAGGCTGAGATTTGAGCTTCTTTATGGTTAGCTCAATGAGTCTGGCACTGTCTTTAACCTTTTTAACCCTCAAGGACACTGGACCTCAGAACGCTTTAAATGACTTGGCCAGCATCAGGTGGTGTTAAGTGTTAGAGCTGAGATTTGAACTCAAGAAGTCTGATTCCCAAGCTGGTTCTTCAATGTCTTATTATGTGCCCATGTCTTTACTTGTCAGGCTTGCAAGGCACAGAGAGACTGAAATATTTACCCAAAGCACAAGCCCAGTAAGTTGTTTGTCTAAGACTCAAACTCATACCACATATCAGAATCCCTCTTCCTTAAGACTAATAGGAACAATTCAACCAGTTTTTATAGAGCCAGCTTAAAACATACCCCCTCACATACATCCTCTCACAGAACTATCTGGAAAACACCTTGGGGAAATAAATGTCTAAAATCCCTTGAGCACTCCCTGCAAGCACACCCACCTTGAGCACATCCACCCAATGGTGCATGTAAAGTTTTCTGAGGACCACATCACTTTAGAATATCCAAGAGTGTTCAGCTCTCAATAATGAGGTGTAAACACATGCAGTGTTTTCTGTCGGAAGGAAAGAGATCCACACAGATTAACAGAGAAGCAGACCACAGCCTGGGGACTCAGGCAGGGAAATGGGACACAAATGTAGCTGTCTACAACCTAGGTAATAGCTCAAGTTCTTCACAACCATAATTTCTCTCCAGTCTTTTTTCAGTCAATTCCTCTTTTCTTCTCCAACTCGAATAGAGGAGGCGAATGTCTATGTCATTGTTTTGTAAGTACTGGCCCACAGTTTTCTTGCTGGTACATTAAGCTGGAATTTTCTATTAGTTACATTTCTTTGGGACTTGATGCCCCTGCAGTAACAGATGGGCAAGCAGAGCCCAAGAGTAATGGAGAGAATTGGATGCCCAGCTTAGTAACTGGAAGCAGTATGGCAGGAACCATTGGAGGTCAAATGAATCCAGAACTTGGTGTTCTCATAATCAGTATCAAGCAAAGAATGGGTGGAAATTCTGCAGAGCTGAAGGGAAGCCTTCATGTTTTGGGGTGGCTTGATTTTTAAAACCCCTCCTTCCCTTGAAAATACTGTCATTCTTTAGCTAATAAGCCAAGTTTGGCATTTCAAGAAGGAAATATTCCAGGAATGTCATAATAATCACAGTTTAGGAATCCCTGTGTCAGTAATTCAGGGATTTGATCCTTAGAAGGTTAAATGCGTGTTCCAAATATAATAAACCAAATTATTACTGTATAGCTCATTTTGAAATATAGAAGTTTGCATTTTTCTACTTTAGTGCCCTGATATTTTTTTCAGTATGAATATTGTCACTTTACTGACAAGGACATTAGAATATGAAAGCATAAATAACAGAAATTCTTTTAAGAAAAGGAAGGAAGGAAGGGAGGGAGGGAAGGGAGGAAGCAAAAATGGAGTGAGGGGTGTCATGCAGGTAGTAACATGTGTCAGAAAGGAATATTCCGAACAGATTTTTATTTTTGAGATTCATTTTTAATAGCATTGTGAGAATTTTGAAAACTCTGAGGGCCTTTTCTCTAATTTTTCTCTCCCACTACCCTCTTCCT